CTAACAGATTAAAGATGGAAAGGGCCATAATGCATCCACAAAAGAATTTAGTGTACTAATTATTTTTCAAGCCTCAACCTTGAGCTCACTATCTTTATTAGCCTTCTATTTTTCAAGGCATAGGAAGAGTAACTTTCAATTTTTTATTGAACTTAGGCAATCGATGAGAATTTTTTTATTTGGTTGAGCTATGATATAAAATCACCTATTATCACTAGGATATTTTTTATTGAAAAAAAACTTCCTGAATAGAGTAAGAGAAGGAAAAATATTTAAATATTGACAAAGAATGATAAAAGAGACTATATATCAAATAGAATTAAGAGTAAGCTTAGTGATTGTTAGATTATAAGAATTAAAAATTGAAATAAATAAATGATGGAGTGGAAACCTCAGACTGGCCATGAACAAATCCTAATATACATATAACTGATGTGGCTTTAGTCTATCAGTGACCTGGTCTAAAGAGTTCGACGTTATTATACTGTACCTCTTTCTAAAAAAAAAGAAAATAATACTCAGAGCTCGAATATAATAAGCTGAGCACATGTTGAGATGGTCTTTAGGATTTGCTTTGCCCTTCAGCTCACTTATCATGTCTTTGGGGATCATGCTAAGGTAATAAAGAGTATATACAGGTAATAAAGAGTATATACAGGTAAGACTTTCTTCTTTGCTATCATTTTTTTCAACTAAGGTATTTTATTTTTTTTGTTCCTCCTCAGAACCCTCTTCACCAAAAACATCTGATCTTGAAGTAAAAGATGGATTTTAAAAAAGAGCAATGGATAAAAATAACTCGATCTAAAAAAAAAAAGGATAAGGTAAAGACCGTTTAGGAGAGGACAAGATGTAAAAAAAATTTGATTGAGGAGGGAGAGTAGAAGTGGTAGGAGGTGGAAGAAATTGAACCCTATAAGGGAGAATACTTGAAGAGGAAGGAAGGTCGATCATAAAAAATGGATCGAACTAAGAGATGGAAAAAATAGGTAGATTTCAAAGTTTGAAGTTGATCTGAGTACACTACTCTTCAGTGCTCAAAACTCACTTGCCTCTTGCCCAAGCATTCTCTTCATTGTGTTGTTACCCTTCTTTAGACATTAAAGTAAACAAATAGGTTGTCTTCATATAGTTACAACCTCTAATAATAAAAGAGATCTGATCATCATTTTGTTACTTTTGTTGACTTTCCCTTGGTTCTATCTTATAGCTTTCACCCATTTAGAACTTATACTAGAAGATATGGTTAGAAATACGTAATGAAGCGAATATAAAAAAAACTTAAAAGGCAAAAAAATTACGAAGATAAAAAATTTTAGGTCAAATCGAGAGCAAAGTAAGTGACAAATAAAAAATTGAAGCCATACTAGTCCTTTTATATAAATGCATTTTAGCCTAAAAAGATGCCCTGATATTCACCACGTATCTAATTATGGGTGAGTATATGTCTTTTCGTCTTCATACTTTAAATCTCTCGGTTCAAACTATTTCTTTTCTTATTTAATGCTATCAAATCGACCCAACCAGATAAACCCCAGATTGAACCAGCCAAATCGGATGACTATTAGAGGTAAATCGAGAGCTTGGTTCATTTTTAAGGTTCAAAACAAAAGCTCAACCTAAATTTTTTTTAAAAAAACACAAGTCTCACCATGGTTGAACGAACACTAGCAATAATCTTGAATCACTTCAAACAGTTATCACATCAGCAACCTTTAAATTGATTATGCATTCACCCCGAAACACATGCGAGATCGAATAACTACTAGGTTTGACTGTAGCCTAAAGCTAGTCATTGTTTAGAATCGATCTCTCCTTACAACATCGACCTTTGACAAAATATGCAATCATTTACCTCACACCGAGGACGTCGATAATAGATATGACAATTTAATATTCAGACTGCTTGATAAGAGGACAAAGTGTTAGGGGCATATAATGGTCAAATGGCATAGTGATCTTTTCTCCTCTCTCAGTCTTCAGCAGACAATCAAGGGTATCTTAGTCTTTTGTACCAACTTGACATGTCAGGTCGGTCTGACATCTCCAGTGCTGTTTTAGCTCAGCCCTATCCTAATTGTTCTCTTTTTATCCTCCTCATTTTACTTATAAATATAAAGACCCAAACACCATTAAACCAAGTTCATCTAACTCATACATGTCTCTTCTTTTTATGTTCTCACTTTTTTTTTTGACTTGATCTTTACTGACTTACGTATCAGAGTGCAAACATAAAAAACACCCTCTATTTTTGCCTCTAACCTTCTTTTTCTTTTGCATTTACAGAATTACCCTTAGGTTGGAGCTCAATACAAACAATTATGAACTTTTCTTTTTTTTTTTTCTAAATTTTTTCACATGCAAAAAGTAGGAATAAATAATTAGCAAGTGAAATCATAAAGCGCTTGTTATGTTTTTTTAATTTTTCTTTAATAAATTCTTTTTTACCTAAAATAAAAAGGAAAAAAAAGTGTGAAATTAAGTTCTAGGTGTGTGGATAGATAGTAGAAAGATGAAAAGGTTTTTTTCAAAACTGCATAAATTTTTTTTATATATAATCTTTTAAAATACCTTTTTCGACGACTAAAATAAAACAATTTTTACTAATTCACTAGCTTTGCTTAAATTCCAAGCAATAGTGGCCCTCAATTCTTAGAATTGAAAGATTCAAAATTCCACGTATATTATCCCTAAAAATATGTGTTTTTTAATGGTTGGCAAATGCATGACATGTGGCTTGCTTTAAGGGAGTGTTTGGTTCACGAAATCTTAGATTTCAGAGGAAAGTGTGATCCTCGAAAAAGTGTGATACCTGAGATTTTTTTCTATTTTCAGGGTATTCCATGTTCAAATTTACTCATTTGATTGTAGGGAATCCATATAAATTAATTCTTGAATAATTATCATAATTCCCTTAACATATATGATGATAACTTTTGATTAGTTTTTATTAATAATAAATACTCAAATGACAAATTATGCCTTTTATAGTAAAAGAGGATAAATATTTTATTTGATTACTGTTTTTATTTATAAAATATCATGAATAAAAAATATTAGAGATTATTAAAGGCGTTTTTGGCTGAGAAATGCCTTAAATAATCATTTTTATTTTTTTAAAGAGATTATTTAAGGTATTTTTAGTCCAAAAACACCTTAAATAAATATCATTTAAAAAATAAGAGGAAATTATTTAAGGTATTTTTGGTAAAAAAAATCTTAAATAATACTTTTCAATTTTTTAAAAGATATTATTTAAAATATTTTTGATAAAAAAATGTCTTAAATAATCTCTAATATTTTTTTAAAAGGGATTATTTAAGGCATTTTTGATTAAAAAATGCTTTAAATAATACTTTCAATTTTTTAAAGGGTATTATTTAAGACTTTTTTTATTTTTGACAAAAAATACCTTAAATATCTAATTTTTTTTAAAAGAGATTATTTAAATAATTTATACTATTTTTTTAAAGAGATTATTTAAAGTGTTTTTGATAAAAAAATGCCTTAGATAATAACTTTCACTTTTTTAGACTGTATTATTTAAGATATTTTTTTTTACTAAAAATACCTTAAATAATCACTTTCATTATTTATAAGATTTAAAAGATAAAATATAAAAAAATTAGAGTAGCTCAATCGGTTAGAGTATATAATTATTAACCATAGAGGTTGTAAGTTTGACCCTTTCTTTCTAGCACTTTAATGATATTTTAATAGTATTATTTAAGGCATTTTTGATAAAAAATATCTTAAATAATATTTTTTAATTTTTTGAATTGTATTATTTAAGGCGTTTTTAACTAAAAATATCTTAAATAATCTCTTTTAATTACTTATAAGATTTAAGAGATAAAATATAAAAAAATTAGAGTAGTTTAGTTTGTTAGAGCATATGACTATTAACCATAAGGTTGTATATTCTTCTTTTCCTTTTAGCATTTTATTTTTGGGAATTACTTTTTTAAAAAGATTAGTTAAGGCGTTTTTTTAATAAAAAAAGGCCTTAAATAATACTGATCAATTTTTTTAGGAGATTATTTAAGGTATTTTTGACTAAAAAATACCTTAAATAATCTCATTCAATTTTTTATAGATGATTATTTAAGACGTTTTTAACCAAAAAATACCTTAAATAATCTCCAAAAAAAATTGATCAATATTATTTAAGGTGTTTCTGGTTAGAAAACACCTTAAATAATGCTAATTATTTTTTTGAGATTATTTAAGGTGTTTTCTAACTAAAAACGTCTTAAATAATTTTTTACAACAAATTGGTCAGTATTATTTAAGAAGTTTTTTATGTCAAACGTCATTAATTATAATATAAAAAAAAATTAGTAAAAAAATATACAATTAATTTGCAGTCACTTTTAGACATGCTTTTTAAAATAGTAATAGCTATTTTATAATTTTTAATTCAGATCAAATTTAAAAATAATATAATTTTTTTTTAAATCTTAAAATATCATAAGATAGATAAATTTTTTATTTTAAAATTTTAGATACTATTAAAAATCTATCATTTTTTCTTAAAATTAAATTATCTTGAATCAAACGTTAAAATTAAATATCTAATAATAAAATTTTTAAAAAAAAAATACATGAGTTTTCCTGGACCCTCCCCCCCCCCCTAAATGATAAAAAGTGAGACTTGGGGAGTTTCTTTTTCCTCTCCACCAACCTCTCCCCTCCTTTGCTATTACTTCACCTTTGTGTTTCTTTCATGCATTCGATTTTTAAGTTGGTTTTATGTAATGAAATACTTGCATTAAACTTTAAAGATTGGAAAAGTAGAGGATTGTTCTTGGGTTTGGTCGGTCATTTGATGTAATGTGTTTTTAGACGTTTACTGCAAGCAAAGATCAAAAGGCTCACGTTTATTTATCGGCCAGTTCTCAATTCTGATAAGGTAAAGTTGCAATCGAATCCAACTATTGTATTCAAAGTGGAATGGAGTATACGTTATCTCTTAACTGTGCATTTCCTATCAGCCGACAACCCGCTGTGCTGTACCTAAATAAATAGCTAAAGGTACGGACATCCAAGAACCATTGGTTCAATTAATAACTAATAAGGTTCGTTCAATTTTGATAATACTAAGTGACCGTAGATTTGAGTTATCGTGATCTACTAATATGACTTTTCCACGATATTTTGATTATATTTCTTAAAAAAAACAGGAAAATACCAAGGAGACAATGCAATTATTAAAGTAATTAGTCCTATTTTACCAAATTATTAGTCGTTTTTACTGTAATCGAAACCCTCATCAGGTATTCAGTACAAAAATAAAACAATTAACGATTTAATCAAATCAGAGCGTTTAAACGATGCCCAAAACCTTTTCTTCCAGATGTCTGTAATAGATAGCATTACATATAACTTGCTAATTTCTGGGCACGGTCGATATGGTAATTCAAAACAAGCTCTGTATGGTTTCACAAGGAATCGAAGAAACTGGTCCTACATTTTCTTATGTGATTACTGTTTGTGTGAATGGAGGTTTTTATGGAGAAGGAATTCAGGTTCATTGCAAGGTGAATCCAGTTGGGTTTGAATTGAGTTTGTTTATCGCAAGCTCACTTGTGAATCTTTATCTGCATATGGGATTTGATGTTTGATCAATTGCCTGAGCGGAATTTAGCTGTATGGAAGTTGATGTTAAATGCGTGTTCGGAGCTCGGTAAAATAGAGCAATTATTTAGGTTGTACGGCAAAATGGAATGGGAGGGTTCAAGTCAAATGGGTTCAGTTTTTGTTATTTGATTCACGCTTGTTGTAATGAAAGGTTTTTAGATGAAGAAAAGCAGCTGCATTGCCATGTGACTAAGACTGCTGCATTGCCCTGTGATTAAGGCTGGATGGGTGGAATTCAATGTTTTTGTTGTCAATGCTTTGTTGGATTTTTATTCTGCTTGTGGGAATTTCATAGATGCTAGGAAAGCGTTTTCCTTAATTCCAGTTGAAGATGTGATATCATGGAATTCAATCATTGCTGTATATGCCGAGAATAAGTTATTGTCTGATGCTTTTAAATTATTTAGTAGGATGCATTTCTGGTGGGGAAAACCTTCAATTCGTTCTTTTTTGGTGTTATTGAATTTATCCAGTAGAAGAAGGTATATTCTATATGGGAGGCAAATGTACTGTTTTCTTACGAAAATAGGTTTTAATTCAGGGAGTGTTCATATTCAATCAGCTTTAGTTGATATGTATGGGAAATGCGGTGACGTTGAAAGCTTTCTGTCTGTATGTGGGAGTGGTTCTAATAGAACTTTGGAGTGTTGTAACTCATTAATAACCTCATTGTTGCACTGTGGTATCACTGAAGATGTGTTTGAAATGTTTGGTTTGATGGTTGAAGAAGGAATTGGGATTGCTGAGGTTACTCCCTTTGCAACGCTGAAAGCTTTATCAGTGTCTACTTGGGCGAGTTTGGACAGCTGAAAACTGTTGCACTATTGTGCTATAAAATCCAGTTATGAATATGATATTGCAGTTTCATGTTCTCTTTTTGATGTGTAATCAAGATGTGGGCACGTTGAGCTCTCTTGCTAGGTTTTCAAAACACTTTATTCACCAAGTGTCTTCTGCTTCAAATCTATAATCAATGGATATACCCGAAATAGGATGGGGAGAGAAGGTGTGAGCCTGTTGGAAGCAATGATCCAGAAGGGCTGGATACCTGATAAAGTGACATTCTTCTGTGTTTTAAGTGGGTGCAACCATGCAGGGTTGGTTGAACTTTGAAGAAGGAAAGTCGGTGTTTAACCTAATGAAATCTTTCTATGGCATTTGCCCAGAACGGCATCATTTTTCAGTATTATCCATCTTTAAGGCCGTGCAGGTCTGCTGGGTGAAGCTGATGAGTTGCTGCAACAGGCACCTGGAGGAGGAGATTCTGTAATGTGTAGGGTCCACACGAATTAAATAGTGGGAAAGAGAGCAGCAAAAGTCTTGATGGAGCTTGGCAAGAGGATTTTGCCATTTATTTGCAGGTGTCAAATTTTTACTCTGAAAGTAGGGGAATTTGAAGCCTCTTTGCAAATTAGAGAGACTGATATGGCAAGAAAGGTGATGAGGGAGATTGGTCACAGTTTAATTGAGGTGAAGACTAACTGCTGACATTCAATTTTTATACCCATAAAATTTAACCGAGCATGGTCATCAAATGGAGAACTTTGGAACAATGCTTGCTCGTCTGTTTCAGCTTCATTTCCATGAAACCGAAACCTGTTTGTGAAGTCTGCATCTTTTGCTTAAATCTTCTAAAGAGCAGTTGCTTTAGCTTGAAGCCTTTGGCTTGTAACAGGAAAAGGACCTTTCCCTCCTGACTCGCTAATTCAATTTTCGTTTGAGGTATTTATTGCTCTATTTCATGCTACAGATTATCCCTGCATGCATGTATGATGATGTTTCATTTTTCAATTTATAAAATTAACTGATTAATATATATTTATTTTGCTGATTGATTATCCACTTCCATGAGAGCGAGAAAGAGAGAGAGATTATACAGAATCCATGAACATTTAACTGGTGAATTTTTGCCCAGCGGTTGAAGAGTAAAGCAAGGAACTTAAAAATAAATTTCCCTTCTACTTTAAGTGTGGGCATGTAGAAAATGTAGCAGCTTCATCTGCTTTTAAGCCAAGCCATATAGCCCACAAAACCATTCATTTCCAAAACTAATCTGCAGGTATAAATTAAACCAACATCTTATTGGATTTTATAAAACTGAATCAATCTTCCAAACAGACAAAAAAGAACAAATCATGGATAAACTGTTCCTGGTTTCCTTCGTTGCTTTGCTGACAGTGGCATATGGAGTTGCAGGTAACATGTTATATGACAACTTCAACATGCTTGAAGAGCTTGAAGACCTGGACATAGCAGAAGAAGATGCTGAAGTTTTTGAGTTCCCATGTTGGACAAGTCAACGTGGTAGCAAGGTTCTTGTAAATGTGGATAGCTTTGGTGCAGTTGGAGATGGAGTTTCTGATGACACCCAGGTATATGCTTGCGTTTTTTTTTCTTTCTTAATTTTTAACTCCCTTGCAAATTGCCTTCATGGTTCTTTTAGGCACATTGAAAGCTCTACCGATTAAGACTCTGACAGGCAGTAGTTTGCAGTCTCTGTTTCCATGAGGGTTCTGAACCATGACAATTCTCTAGGATTAAGAAAATAGATATATGCTGTGAATATTATTTTTGACTAAAACTATTTGTGCATTACTGTTTGACGAAATATGTTTTCATTGTCATAAAAAATAAGCCAATTTCCCATTTGATAAATTAGCATTTTGTCTTTCTGTTTATTTCATCATCAGGCTTTTAGAAAAGCATGGGACACAGCGTGCTCTACTCCAAAATCAGTTTTCTTGGTTCCTCCTGGACGCCGTTATTTAGTTAACGCTACGAAGTTTAGGGGACCATGTGCAGATAGGTTGGTTGTTCAGGTAATATCAATGTACATCAAATTAAACGCATATGGAAATAAGATCTCGATAATTGTATATCTATGTTTTTGATTAAATGATTGCAACTATTAATTCCCATTCGATATTAATTTTAACTTTAATTCCAGTCATTTTTTTCTATTTATTATTTTGTCATAATCATTATTGTTATTATACAGATTGATGGAACAATAGTAGCACCAGATGAACCTAAGAACTGGGACCGAGATCTTTCACGACTGTGGCTTGAATTTACTAAACTGCAGGGAGTGGTGTTCCAAGGAAATGGAATTATTGATGGATCTGGTGGCAAATGGTGGGCATCTTCTTGCAAAAAGAACAAGTCAAATGTAATTCCTTAGGGTTCTCTTTACAAATTCTTTCATGCTCAAGTTACAAGTTAAACAAATAGAATGTAACATATATTTCTTTTTCTGTTTTCTTTTCCTTTGGCAGCCTTGCAGAGGGGCACCAACAGTAAGGATCTTTCTCCACAATTATACTAGTCATATTTCCAATAAGCAGAATGCCAAATTTATCTCAAATTAGCTTTAACATATGAGTATGTTGCAGGCACTGACTATAGATTCAAGCTCATCTATTAGGGTAAAAGGCCTTACTATTCAGAACAGCCAACAGATGAATTTCGTTATTTCCAAATCTGAATCTGTTCGAGTATCTGAAGTACAAGTCTCATGTCCAGGAGACAGCCCAAACACTGATGGGATCCACATCACTGGGTCAACTAATGTTATTCTTCAAGACTGCAAAATAGGAACAGGTTCTGAAACCTTTTGTCTTTCCTTGCATCTCTTTTGCTGTACAAAAGATAAGAACATCCCTAAATGAAGCTGAAAGAATGTCTTATAGAAATGATACTACAAACTATTGCATGTGTGCATACTGACTGGTTAAATATTCATGGTGACTGTGCATATGAAATGCAGGGGATGATTGCATCTCAATTGTTAATGATTCATCTGCTATAAAGATGAAGAGAATATATTGTGGACCAGGACATGGAGTAAGGTGTGTTCCAAACTTCCAGTTAGATTCTATAAGCTATTTCAACAGATTGTTTCCTGATCCATGAATAACTCCATTTCCTTGGAACAATACTCCGGGGAAGGAAACCGGGAACAATTTATCCATGATTTGCTCTGTTGACCATTCAATCCCCTACAGAAACTGATTGTTTTATGTTTACCTCTTATTTTCTCTCTTTTATGCAAAATTTGGCTACTTAGCATTGGAAGCCTTGGGAAGGATAACTCCACGGGCATAGTCACAAAGGTGGTTTTGGATACAGCACTCCTCAGGGAGACTGCAAATGGAGTCAGGATTAAAACTTGGCAGGTATTGTGATGACATATCTCGTAAACCTAGTACCTTCAATAAGAATACACATTTAGCCGGTATTAGGAACGCAGAAGACTTTATGGGGCTTCAGTTGCCAACTTAGCTGCTGTTTCTGAGTAAGAAATGAAGCCTAATATTTTCTTCTTCTTTTGGGAGGAAGAAGAAAATGGGTGATGTGGTAGGTTCTACAAATGTCTTTTTTTTTTTCCTGAACATGTCAACACACAATTTGACTTCTTGTTTCTGAATATGTCAACACATAATTTGACCATATTTTTTCTGAATATGTCAGCACTCAATTTGCATTTAGGGACATTTCAGATTCATCTCTTTGAGAATGACATTTGTCTCGTGATTCTTTGATAAGGGTGGTTCCGGTTATGTTCGTGGTGTGCGTTTTGAAAATGTAAGGATGGAAGATGTTGCTAACCCCATCATTATCGATCAATTCTACTGTGATTCGCCAACAAACTGCCAAAACCAGGTGAATTATCCAAGGTTTTATCATATCTAAATTTCTCAGTATCTGTCTTATGATCACATTAGTTCTGATTCTTGCAAGAGTCTCTCACCCAATTAGAACAGTGATCACATGAATTCTTGTTCTTTTTTATTTGTTAGACATCAGCAGTGCAAGTAAGCCAGATTATGTATCGAAACATTACTGGGACGACAGAAAGCAAGGAAGCAATGAAGTTCGCCTGCAGTGATACTGTTCCCTGTAGCAATATAGTCCTGAGCAATGTAAACTTAGAGAAGAAGGATGGCACAGTGGAGACCTACTGCAACTCTGCCCGAGGCTTTGGCTACGGGGTTGTGCATCCTTCAGCGGACTGCCTAAGTTCCCATGACAAAGGCTCTATTCTCATTGATCAGAAAGAAAATGCTAAGTTTGCTGAACCCACTGTTCATGCTGAACTCTAAGCTCCCTATAGGCACATAAATAATGATGTGATAGTATTATTGCACAAGAGTAACTTAACTAGAGCAGTAGAGGTCCGAGGAGGTTTGAGGCTCGAGTTGAAATTTTTATGGGAAATTTCGGATGCCATTGATGTTATGCACAAACTGCATTGAAACTAATCCTGACAATAATAGCAAGGATATGTAAAATGCAGTTAATATACCTAGTAATATTGAAGAAGAAAAATCAATTTAATGAAATTACTTACATTTTGATATGAAAGTGCAATTGTACTCTTTCGACAGGGTCCATTTTGTAACTTGCAACACAAGTACACAATCCCTACTGCAGGAAACTCCAAAAATGATCCTCAAGTGATGTAGCCATACTTCCATATGTTTGTTAAAAATACACCAGAAAATGCTCTGGCTCTCAAAAGATCGATCTGAGTGCTTGAAATAAATGAAAATGCAAGGACAATGAGGGACCACTGAGATGCAGATTGATTCATTGTTCATATGTAAAGATTTACTGAGAATCAGAGCCAAACTATTAAAGAAATCAAATTTTACTCGTTTTCGTGATGAATTAAATACACACATACTGAAAGGGAAGAAAAAAAAGATGGTTGGTTTGAAGAACCACAAACTTATAAAAAGGAACCGGATTTCAGTTTCCTCTCTTTGGTAAAGTGGCAAGTGCGTGACTTCTCGTGTAATAAAAACAAATGTGGTCCATGACTCCATGGGAACAAAATATATATATATATATATATATGTTTAAACAACATTGATTTTGATATTTCAATAATGTTTGTTTGATGCACAACTGGTTTCTATGAATATCTATGCTTAAAAGACAAGAAAACAAATAATAAACATATGAATTTGTTTCTGAAGTTGTCACCATTTTAATTTTTAACAAACCCAATGCTTCCTATTTGTTAATTATCTATCAACTGATCCAATATTATTGGCATCCAACTGGAATAGACAATGCTGGAACGAGGCAAAAGCAAAAATTCCCGAAGTAAAAGATGTCCCCAGAGGCTAGCAGGCCCAGTACAGATTTCTTGACATTTTTTTTTTTCTTTGAAGTAACATCTGACCGCACCCGTCTTTGATCTGAACTTGTCTATGTCTAATGAATTCAGGGTATGAAATTATGTTGAAAGCAAAACAATGGTTGTAGGTTTTTGTCTCAGAGATTATAATATTCTCCATATTTATGATCTCTGAACTGAGCAGCCAATTAAATTACACCACTGGCTGCTGGCTAGTCATGACAGGCTGCTAAATGAACGCTAGCTATGAAATGCTACACACTTTCCTCCTCCTTTCACCCTTGCATTTAAATATTGCCATCCAAGGGTTGATGGATTTTCATTTTAGGGTCACGCATGCAAGTTTGATGACTTGTTTTAAAGTCATAATTACAATTCGTGGTGAATTACGTAATTTAATTTTTTAGATCACACTGCATGATGACAATACAAAAGATTAATATATATATATATATATAAACAATACAATTTAAAATTTTAACAAATATCACATAAAAATTTGATAAAAATAAAAAATATATTTTGTATTATGATGTATAAATATAAATTGTAACATAATAAATTTTATATTTTATATATATTTCATATGAGAAAAATACGATAAGAATACAAATCGATAGTTTGAGCATTTTATTTTATAAAATATCTCGGTGCATTTTTTCTGTAAGTATCGATTTAAAGAGAAAAATTCTAACCTAACTCTCTGATTAAAAGCACACAAACTCATTTTCTTAAAATTTGTAATCGGGTGAATGACCATGAGTTTACATTAACACAGTAACAAAAACATGTTAAATGTGCAAGTACTTTAGGTTTTATTACTACCAATTTTTAATGTTGGTTAAACATTTTTTTTAACCATAGGGTAGCTTTATCTTATACTAATATTGACCATGAAAATTATTTTGAATGACATATCATTTAATTTACCAAGCCTGCTTGGGTGATGGAAATTTGTACGTGAAAGCACAGAAAAAATGGGACGGGGGGCCGAGGGAGGGTCCCAAGTCTCGACAAGAGAGAACATTACAGTTACAAAATCAAACTACATGTGTATGCACAGTTTAACAGATTTTGTGGGTACAGGCAGTTATGTGATATTGTTGTAAATAAAGACCTTGAGGGAGATTCATGGCTTGGCCCCATGTGGGTCTGCTCTGCTTCACTCATTTGCTTGTATTTCAGGCCAAAGTCACAGGAAAGAACCCAAGAACAACGCATCAGACAAGTCACTGAGATGTTATTTTATCAATAAAAAAAGAAGTGAAAGGAGAGGAAAGGAAGAGCTTTTAGGGGCTCAAAATAATTAGATCCGTGACATGGGTAGGAAGAGGATGGATGGAAGGCTTTCTTGTAGGCCTTGAATTAAGGGTTTTGTAATACCAACAAAGCTAGGGAAGACAAAAACAGTTTTTGTCTTTCCAAATTTAAGAATCAGAAGAAGAGATCCGATCTTGCAGCACTTCGGCAGCATCTAGGGGTCGTCTGGAGGTCTGTTTCCCAACTGAAATTTCACATGCACAAAACAATTCTCCACAACTATATAACATTGTTGCATTAAGCACGCACCAAAAACAATGAGAAACCCTCTTACGAAAGAAAACAAAAAGAAAAACCTAATTTTTCTAGCTAGCTAATGATCATATTTCATTAATGAATTTGAAAATCATTAGGATCAGTGTCATATAGGTTCAAATTCTTTAGAATGATATATGCTTAAAAAAAAGTTAATGCCTTATTTACTTCTGAAAATATATCACTTGACATTTGCAGAAAAAGTTTATAACAAAGTAACTTAATTTTTATTTCATCATGCAATTTTCTCAGACACTAATTCTATTAATAGCTAAAGCGGTCAAAAGACAATCAATAAAATCATGAAAAGCAACCAAAAATGCCATATCAACTTTTAAACTTTTTAAGAAATTTTGAAATTATAAAATAAAAGAAAATAATGAAATTTAAAAAAAAAATGTCATGGAGAGCAAAGGGAAAGGATAAGATTAGATGGAGCCGAAAGTAAAGGGAGAAGGGTCCACACAACGAGTTAATATGAAAACGATATAAAAAGAGGTAATATAAAAATGATATAAAAAATATAAATGTGACATAATTTAAGATTTTAATAATAATTATATATGAATTTAATAAATAAAAAATATATTTTATATTTTGGTATCAACATAAATTATAATATATAATTTTTATATAAAACACGATATAAATATATGAATTTCAATATTTTATAAGACACTAAATATGATATAGAAGAAAATGATGAAAATTTTTATTATAATGACTTGTTTTCATAATGAGGCCCAAAGCCTATTTATACATAGTAAAATTTTATAAAATAGGAAATATAATAAATAAAAATAATGATTAAATTAATTCTTATAATCAACTAAATTAATATTTAATATTCTTTAAATCAATATCAAATTAAACTAGAATATTATTGAAATATTACTAAAATAATATCATTGAAATCAATCTAGAATATTATCAGAATATTACTAAAATATCATTGACATTCCTCTTGCAAACTCAATTTAGTAATGTAGAGGCCAACTTGAGTTTGAAAACTTGAACAAGAAATTGATCAGGTAGATATGATTTGGTGAAGATATCTACTTTTTTATTAGTATTGGTAATAGGAACAAGTCAAAAAGTTTGATTGAGTAGATGGTGATGAACGAAATGGCAATCAATTTCAATATGTTTAGTACACTTGTGAAAAACATCATCGTGTGCTATTTGAATAGCACTTTGATTATCACATAATATAGGAGTATTAGAGTGATGAAAAATAGCAATATCTTGAAGTAACCATTGTAACCATAGAAGTTTTGATTTGGCATCTACAAAAACTCGATACTCAACTTTAGTGCTAGAGTGGGACACCATAATTTGTTTCTTTCTTTGCCAAAAAATAAGAGAAAAACTTAGAAAAAAAAAACAATAGCCTATGGTAAAACAACGATTAGTAGGATCTTTTGCCCAATCAGCATCATAATAACAATGCAAGTCCAAAAAAAATTAGAGAAAAAATACAAATCATGGAACATAGTACTTTTGATATATCATTGCATCCAAAGGACAGCAGCACAATGAGTAGATTGAGGAGCAGACAAAAATTGATTAACCAAATAAATAGTATAAGTAATGTCTAGATGAGTAACTATCAAGTATACAAGACTACTCACTAAAGTTCGATATAAAGTAAGGTCTAAAAGTGGTGTACCATCAAAAAGAAAAAGCTTCAAAGTCTATTCAAGTAGTAATGATAGAATCTTGCTATTAGTTAAACCTATTCTAGCAATAAGATAATAAACATATTTTGTTTAAGACAAATGTAAGCCAATAGAATCACTAGTGACTTAAAGGCCTAAAAAATAACTTAAAGGGCCAAGATCTTTCATCTCAAACTTAAAATGAAAAAAAGTCTTTAGATTTGAATACCATTTGCATCATTATCCATAATAATCATGTTATCCACATAAAGTAAAAGAATAGTAATACATTTTTTAGTAGTTTAAGTTAAATGAAATGAATCATGATTACTAGATGTAAAATTATGTTATGTAATAGTGGTATTAAACTTCAAAAACCACGATCTAAGAGTTTGCTTAAGACTATATAGAGTACGTAAAAGATGACAAACCATGTTAGAAGGTATAAATGAACTAGAATGTGGTTTCATATAGAATTTTTTAGGAAGATCACTATTCAAGAAGGTATTTTTGACATCCATTTGATAGGTTAAAAGCTACAACAACAGCTAATAGTGAATGAACAAATGTGAGACGTACAACTGGAGCAAAAGTCTCTTTTTATTCAATGCCATATTTTTGTCTAAATCTTCGAGCCACAAGACGAGCTTTGTAACATTCCACTAACCCATCAGATTGAGTTTTGATCTTGTAGACCTACTTACAATCAATCACTAACTTATCAAAAAGTCATTCAACAATATCCTAAGTATGAGTTTCTCAAGAGCTTGAATTTTTTTACCATTACTTACTACCATATAGGATTAGAAATAACTTCACGAAAATTATGATGTTCATGTAACATGGCTAAATCATAATAACAGTAAAAATCATGAAGTTAAATATTGGGTTCCCTTACCTAGATAGAATTATAAATTGAAGCTAGTATGTATGGTGAAGGGATAACTGTATCAATACAAGTCTCAGTTAGATAAAAAACAATAAGAATAGAAAAAGATGTGTAGGCATCGATTTTGTCCGGATCTACTGTCTTCATTTCCAGTTTAATATTAATAATAATTTTAATAATAATAATAATAATAATAATAATTAAAAAAAAGAAGAAGAG